CCAAAAACGACGCTTTTTATGCCGCTTCTTACTTAGAAGATCGATGATAAGACAGCAAGCGCTTGAAAGTAAAAGATCTTCCTCACTCATTGTTATGTGACTGAGCGAGCAGGCAACTGACGAACACAATATGGAACACAGCTGTACGGTTGGATGGTGTGCGCAACCACCTTTAACGTCTTGGATAGGAAGCAGTTTAATAATGACCACAGGAAACGCTTATGTTTGTTAAATTACTGTGTTACAAGCATAGCGTGTTAGAGACCGTTCAAAATTCTCGCTCTCATAGTCTAGTTCTCGCTCTTACGCACTCGGTAAACCATACACAAGTCCGTGGCTGCAGGCGGTGCTGCTGTTATTCACTTCCGTGACTTTTTCGTTACTGAAAGTGACTGATCACTGTTTGCCGGTAGTAATTTGAAGTGCGGAAGAAAGTGAAGAGCGAATTGTGATTTTTTAACTTTCTTACTCTACGATTCGAATTATTGAATTGTGGATCTTGTTTTCTCCAAATTTAACTCAACTTCTATTAATTTCCGGAATTAGTATAAATAATTATAATGCCAGTTGGAGGTGCTCTGTTTGGAAATTCTGCTGCTCGCTCACAAAATAAAAATCTTGTAGAATGCAAAGCGGGCAAAATGTCTCTGAAAGGAAAAATGGTTCATCCGGATAAAAGAAAAGGTTTATTGTATGTATATCAGTCTGATGATTCTCTTATGCACTTCTGTTGGAAAGATCGTCAAACTGGGACTGTTGAAGATGTAAGTAGGGTATGCTGGTTTGATGATGTTAAACCAATTCCGTTAGCAGGGTCATTTTGAGTAGTTAACTTATCTGTTATTAAGTTGTTGGTTTAATTATATTTACGAGCCATAACCCACCCGAAATTGCCCTTCCTAATACCATTTTGTAAATTATATAGTGTACAAGAACAGTCATATGGAGCAATTTTTCCCTTAATGTTTTAGAAACATTTTTCTTGTAAAGTTTTAAAATCCTTTGTTTACATTTTACAAATTCAAAAACATCCTGCATTGCGGTTTAAGGTTAAGGGAGTAACTATTTTTCCATACCACTTTAGAACTGAACTAACTTCATAGAGAAGAGGCCATCTTGAGAAGCTGTTGGTATCACAAGAGCCTGCCAGATGTTCTGTCCAGAGCCATTTTTGTTACTTAGATTGTCCACAGAATCTTTCTAAGTTTGAGGTCCTGTCTGTCTAACCAACTAACTCCATGCAGGAGTCCTTGAGAAGCTCAGCTAGTTGAATTATCCATACTTTATGGAACCTGAATGTTCATTACCTTATTCACAAGAGCTTGCAACTGGTTCCTAACTTGAACCAGATGAATCCATTCCAAAAAAAAAAAAAAAAAAAAAAAAACCCAACCCTGTTTTTCATTCCATCCCTTCAGGCTTTCCAACCATGGCTCTTACTAACATTTAGTTAATATGCTGATTTTTTTATGTTGTGGACCTGTTAGGCCCCCATTAATCCCCAAAGGTGGAAGACCATCCCTTGTCTGTATTCAAGTGCTTATTAAGTATATTTGCAGCAACTGTCCATTATCTGGAGGCCTTCTTCTTCTGCATGAGGATGCACCATGCTGTGATGACAAGGGCCCCACTTAACATGGCAAACCACTTTATATAGAGCTAGCAGCAATACTGCTGCTGTTGAGGTTTACTCCATTCATAAAGATGGAGGTAGTATGTTTCTCTGAAACACTGGCATATACCCACAAGACTATGTGGTGCAACAACCCATATGACCACAATCTGAACTCACACCACCATAAAAACCTCTAGTACTACAAAAAAACAAGGCTTTCTTTTAATTTCCAGGACCTTATCATCTTTCCTGATGACTGTGAATTTAAACGAGTGGCCCAGTGCACCAGTGGACGTGTTTATGTCCTGAAATTTAAGTCTTCAAGTAGGAAGTTCTTCTTTTGGATTCAGGTATTAAGGTTCTATTTGTAAGACATTTGACAGTCATGAGGCTAAACGTGAATGAACATCTTAATTTTGTGTGATACACTAGGAACCAAAGACAGATAAGGATGATGAGAACTGCCGCCGTATTAATGAAGTGCTTAACAATCCTCCAACTCCAGGGTCCCAGAGAAGTGGTGGTGGAACTCCAGGTATTTGCACCATGCATTGTACTGAATTTGTTTTTGTGCATGTGTAAGGTCAGGGTGTGGTATAAAGTAAAGAACAGCCACTGTACCTTTTGAATTTTTCCCAGGATGTAATGCAGGTACTGAATGATTATTTGTTCATATGACACCATCTCTGAAGTTTTAACTGATTTTTTTTTGCATTGTTTGATGTGAATTGCCTTACCAGAAATACACAAAACTGTTTTTTCTTTTCAGCTAATTGTTCAGAGAAGTTCTCCAAAACATTTAGTGAATAGAATCACATGTAAACTTATTTTTCTGTTCTTGAATATTTTGAAGTCATGTGGTTTGGGAGGTGAAATAGGTACAGATTGTCAGAAGGCCTTCATTGTATGCATGTAACATGTAAACATGGCTGGAATTGTAATTTGCACTCTGATGCATGATAATGGATAACTTGTTATTGAAACTGCTATATTTGTCAAAAATCTGATTTATTGTGTACCTTTTAGATGGAGATCTACAGAATCTGTTGAACAACATGTCTCAGCAACAGTTGATGCAGTTGTTTGGAGGTGTTGGGCAGATCGGCGGACTCTCCAGCTTGTTGGGAACAATGAGGTGTGTGTTTTTATAAATTTGTGCTCCAGAAATTTATTCTGCAACTCTCTTGAAACAAAACTGTTATTGTGAAACAGCCACATTGCATTACTGCTCTTGGTTAAACCCAGCAAAAAGTGTGGACATCAACAGGGAGTGGGAATATGTCAGAAACTGTATCAAAATTTCAGCCAAAGAGAAACTAGGATATTACAGGATAAAGAAAAATGTGACAGCTTGAAATCTCAAAAGTTAAGGACTGCTTATCTTCAAATAACAAATATCTTTCAGATTGCTGGACTGCCCTAATCCTTTCACTGTTAGCACGCGATGTGGAAACGGTTGATGAAGAACATAAGTTTAGTTTTAGACTATAATGGAACACTTGTTGGCCTGATGAAGCTTGGGGTTCTGTAAATATTTAACACAAAGTATCACAACCATTTTTGAGCCCAAATGTTATGTGTGTTACCCAGCATGTAATTCTAAGACTGTGCAGACTTCTCTGATAAACACATGGTTTGATGTTGGTGTGTTGGGTTGTAACACCGTATGGACTAGTAGATAAGTACCAATGTTATACTGAAATATTGGTATTTTCATACAGGCTCACATGGCCTTACAACCCAGCAGACCAAGACCAACATCTTTAGTGCTGTGAGAATCTCGCATCTCATATGAAATATGATGGTGAAAGACTAAGTTCTGTAAATATGTGTAATTTTTTTCAGTCGTCCATCAACAGGCCAGAGCTCTCGTCCTGCATCTTCTACTCCATCTACATCAGCTGGTGCATCTTCTACTACAAGTTCTACAACAGCTGCTGTCACCTCTGCTACCACTACTGCAGCTGCTGTAACTACTACCTCTAGCATGACTGCCTCAAGTTCAAGCACTGGGAAAGGTGTTAGTGCTGAGTCAGCCAAGCATGCTACTACTGCTACTGCTGCTTCTACTTCTACTGCTACTGCTACTACTGCTACTGCTGCTTCTACTTCTACTGTTACTGCTGCTTCTACTGCTACTACTGCTACTGCTGCTACTACTGCTACTGCTGTTACTACGGCTACTACTGCTGCAAGTGCTACTGCAACTGCATCAGGTGAGATTATATGAGGAAAGTAGTTCCTAAAGACATGTTTCATATGGGATATTTTTGATAACTACACAAGTCCCAAAATCTAGTTTTCTGACTAACCAACATAGTTTAATACCAATTCCAGAGCTCACAGTTGGATTGCCTTGGTCTTTCAAGAACCTTCCCGACCAAATTTATTAATAATGTTGTGTTTTCCTTGTGTTAAAATTCAGAATCAGTAATACTGTGTGAAATTAAATGTTCCAACTGTTCTCAGTATGTTAGCAGGGATTTCTCACACAATTTTGAGCTTAAAACATAATATAAGAATGTAGGAAGTGGAAGAAGCAGTTCAAAGGGTTTAAATTTATTTTAAGGTTACAGTAAGCAATAGTTATGACTCTAGGCTGATTGATGAAGTAGAAAATAAGAACGAAGAAAACTTTCAGCTTTAAAGAGAAACAAGCAAACAAAACAGGACAATAAGGTATTCTTTATTGTGACCCTTCCAAACTGCATCTTCAGAACATTCACTTTTTCAAACTATGTCAGTATTTTATTATATTATTAAATTCAGACTGACGTAATCATGTAGCCATTATCCGCCCAGTTGTAGAATGTAATCTTCATAAATGGTATTCAGTTGGGGTAATAACCAGCTTTCCAACATGTCCAAATATGAGTCGCCAGTCACAGTTGCACCATTCTTTTATGTATACCCTGTATATGGTATATAAAGAAAAAAGTCTTCTTGGCAACCAAATCCGGGTTGCCGTGCACTGCAGGCATATATGCTGTCAACTGAACTGTGATGGTGAATTGAAGGATTTTTTCTTCTATTGAACTACAAAGAGGAAAATAAAACTGTTTTCAAAGAAATAGCAGATTGTCAACAACTAAGTTTTGGCCAAGAAGTCAGTGGAGGGCACTCTGCCATATTGCAGAACCAAAGCTTAAAAGGGGATAACAATCGATTGGGTCCTCTTATAAGATAATTTTAATGCTGTCTTTCTCATGTACACCTAGGTGTCCCAAGTATTGTCTTTCCTTGAGATTTTCAGTGTCAATTTTTTACTTCTCTTCGTATTACATGTCCTGTTATCTTATATTTATTGATTTGAATGTATGGTGAGAGAGTAAATTATCAGACTCCTCAGTATGTGGTTTTCTCCATCCTCTTGTTACTTTCTCTCTTGGTCTAGTTATTGTCCTCAGCACCCTTTTCTCAAATACCTTCTTGAACTTTATTAATTTGTTTTGTATGTAACAAAAGCTACATATATATATTAGAAACATGTTGGGTGCTCTTCAGTTAGATTAAATTTATACATTGTATTTGTGATTATATATTAATAGAGATTTGAAATCAGGGGCCAAGGTTTATCAAAGAATTAAGTCTCTTTTCATATGATATAAGAAGAAAGGGCCAAATATGTAATACAACTCTAGTTTGGCAAATTGGCATAATGAGGAATTTAATTGTTTCTAGGGCCATCTACTATTCAGCTGAGTGATCTTCAGAATTTTCTGTCTGGGTTGAATGTTCCTGGAGGAGATGGTGCTAGTCACCGCTCAGGTGTGTTCATATTTTTAAGCATCAGGGGCTGTAAATAGTTATCCAAGTTGATGTTAATTCAGTGTTTTTTGCATGGTATGTAACCATTTGTGCAATATAAAAAATAAGCATATGAGGATTTAAATTACTGTGCATGATTTGAGGTTCTCACAGCAGTGAGTATGAAGATTTCTATCTTCTGGGTTGTTGCGCTGTGTAGTCTGGTTGATGTTAACGAATGTTTCAGAGGGCATACTGCCCTGATGACGGAGGCAATATGACCTCTGAAACGTTGGTAAACATCGACCAGACTGCACAGCGCAACAACCCAGAAGACAGAAATCTTCATTTAAATTACTGTTTCATCATCAGATACTATTTTGGTATTGTATGTGCCAAGTGGTTGGATATTTCTATGGAAGTGGATGAATGATTTAATAATTTTGGCATTTGTTTTATGTGGGTTTGGAATATAGTCTCCTACTTTTGAGGAAAGAAGATACATTACATGTGTTTTAAAACAAACCACTCAGGAAATTATTTATATTAAGAAAGAGTGAAGAAGAGAGCAATTAAGTATATTACATACTGAGGAGATCATTTGTACAGGCCACCTAGCATTGTTAGCATAGGGATGTATATTAAATAAGGGTGACATACAGAGATTCAGTGGGAAAACCTGTTGGAAATAGTACACTTGTGAAACAGATGGATATGGGGTGATAACATTAATAGTTCTGAAGAAGATATGTTGTGAGGATGAGAAGTGGATGGAACTGGCTGAAGATTGTGTTCATTGGCAGGCTATAGTCTTAGAAGTTTTGAATTTCAAGGTTCTGGTAACACATTGATAGATAAGAGGGGTACTTTTTTAAATGTGTTAATGTATGGAGATATTTTTTTTCATAATAGTACTAAAATTATATAACTTTATAAATTCATTTTTGTATTTAGAGAAGTAATAAAATCTACATTTTAAAATAACTGTGTACACTGTTATAGGTGAATAGAGTTCCAAATGTCAGTATAGTCAAGTATTTTTTTTTGTTTCCAGTTGACTTGTCTTCTGCCTTAACAATGGAGAATCTGCAAGCTGTATTAGGGGATCCCAGTTTGGTGCATGAACTGCAGCAACATCTGCCATCTGGGATTGGTGGGAATCCACCTCCTCCAGCATCTGAACAGTTACGATCAACACTGACATCACCTCAGTTTCAGCAGGTGACCTGAATTAATTCATTTGCAACCAGCTGCTCAGTGTCATATTAAACCCAGCTGTTTTGTTTATAGACAAACAAAAGACAATAGTTTACAGATAAGTTTATCGTATCATCGTTATTTAGCCGTTAGTTAGTTGGGCTACTTGTTGAATCATTCCATCCACATTCATTGAAGTTGGCAAGTAATGGTAAATTTCTCTTGATGAGCACTATGGTAATAAAATTGCTATCTTAAGCAGCTAGACAGTCTTGTGCAGTTGTTTTCTCGGATGCTGATCTGGTTATATTGCTGTGACCAGTAACCAAAGCCTTATCTGGAAGAATGGAACATAATACATGCAAGTATTTTGGCATTTGGAAACAAGAAGCTATAGATGTATTCTAAAAGTTTAGTGGCATGTTAACAACTTTAATGTCTAGACATACAAGGAATGAATGTGGCATTATGTAATGCGATTTGTGATTTATACCTAAAAAATTCTTCATGAAGTATTTCCATCAAGCTGTTACAGTCTGCTGGACATACACTTGATTTCAGTTTCTTATGAAAAAATGTAGGAGTAGATTCAGTGCTGGTGTTTCTCTGGACTTGATCCATTGTTCAGTATTTTAAAAATGAAGTCACTTCTGGAGTTGGCTCTGCTCCTGTCTTCAGGTGGCAGTGCCTTTTCTGTTGTGTCCAGTAGAAGGGCAAATTTCAATACTGGATCTAGGGGTTTGTATTAGTTGGGGACATTTATTACAGGAACATTCAGCAGAACAGGAACTTCCCTCTATAAAGTCATAAATAGATACGTGTTTGGAGAAGGAAATATTTTCTTAGGGCCCTGTCGACTGAAAAGTCTGCATATTTGTCTTGTATTCAACACAGATCATGTCCTATCTGTCATTAGCAGCAAGAGAACATTATCAAGCTTATTAACAGTGGTTGTGAAATGTAGTGGTGATGCTGCTGCAGCAACTGGTCTACATGAGAATTAAGTAAATAGTTGTGACATTGGTAGCCCAGTAGGCAAATGATGTGCTCATGTGTAAAACAACCCCCCACCCCCAATTTGTGAACAGAGAAGTGTGGTCTTTTAGTACAGAGGTATTTCTCATATGACTTTGTTGTGTTCCACTGCTTTGCTGTTTTTAGCGTTGTTATTCATTTAATTTTTCATTAGTGTTTTATAACTTCCAGTGTCATAAAGTATTACTAGTAAAGTTTGCATCAAATTAGAAGAAGCATGACAATTCTTGGTCTGCTAATAGTGCAGTATTTGACTTCCCAGACCATATATACATCATGGAAACTTTTGACTCTTGCATGCAGTAGTTACCTTCATTAAGTTGAACAGTGCATACCTCATTGCTGATGCATTGCCACAAATTACTGCATAAGAGAGTGATAATCATGATATTTGAAATAGCAGGTTTGAATCTTCTGCAGGTTTTGACTTTTTTTTAAGTCAAATATGTTATTTTTTACAGGCTTTAAGTATGTTCAGTGCAGCCTTGCAGTCAGGTCAGCTTGGTCCTGTAGTTCAGCAGTTTGAGGTAGGAGCTGAAGCTGTGGATGCTGCAAACCAAGGCAACATGGAGGAATTTGTAAAGGCTCTTCAGAAGGCAAGCATTGACAAGGAAGATGAAAATAAGCAACCTGGTGGGGATGAGAAACGCAAGAAGAGGGAGGATAGTAGTAAGAAGGATGATGATGATGATGAAGGTATGTCCCTTGATTAATGTGCTCTTGAAGGGGGAAGGTGAATTTTCAGATATAACTTTGTTTTATGTATTTTTATTATTATTGTTGGAGAAGAAATTGATACCAGAATAACTCTGTTCTGCTTTGGTGGTTATTGATTTTTCTATTTAAAATTTATGTTACCTGATTTGCTCAAATATAAGAGCATATTTATGTAAAGTCAGAATGCATGTTACATGCAGATTTATTGGGTGAAATAAAGCATTTCTTTTAATTTTTCTTGTATGGCATTACTTGGAATTCCCTATTCCATTATGAAGATACATAATTCTAACACATATTGACACTTTATTTTCGCTGTGCAATTCATCTCAGACACGTTTTAAGACAATCTGTTCAGAATATGTCTTTTGCTATTCCTTGTAATGGTTTCCTGTCACATTTGGTCCTTTTATGTTTTGTTCTTTTGTTGACATATCTCATCTGTACTATACAGAAATACCCTGCTCAAAGCTAATTCAGTATTAAGCTGCTTGAAAGGTATGTACACCCACACCTGCAATGTGCTGAGTTGAGGTGTATGGTATATTACCATTCAAAACTAGTCCTACACTGCTTCAGTTGTAGCATGTATGTGCACACTATACCTTGCTATTGCTTTGTAATTTTTAAGATTTTAAATTATCTGTGCCCATAATAACTGAAAAAAATCAGTTATAGGCATGGAGAATGATCAAAAGTGACAGGGAAAGTATGACTTTCTGACAGCATCCTGCAGATCCAAAGTAGAACTACGTGTAACCTGGAGCAACTGCTCAGTTGGATGATTCACAGCCTGAATCATCTCTTCAGCAATGTGTAATAGGCAGTGAAGACTAAATTTCAGTGTCTTTAATTAGGGTTATTTTATTTTACATTGTGCTATAATGTATTTTTAATTTAAATGTAAATAATGTTGAGACTGAATAAATTATGTTCCCAGTGAATTATGTGTTTGCACATACTGTAATCAGTTGTCTATGTATGCCAGTGGACAAATGAGGCCATTGTGTCACTTCACTCATAGGTAAGAAATAACACGTGTTAGTAAAGTTCTCAATGTAACATGTTATGACCCTGTTGAAAGCTTTTCCAGGAATGCATCATAAGTGTTTGGTGGATTTTATTGTTTGTGCATTTTGAATCAGTTATTCTTCTTACATAACACACCTAATCAATAAGTGCCTGAGGTTTTTACCTGCAGTAATAATATGGCATTCTGAGATTTTATAAATGTGTGTCTATATATATAATTTTTTTTAAACCTGCAGATATAGTTTGGGATATGGATCTGTTGTTAGAAACATGAACTCTGGTGGGAAGATTATCAACATTTCAGAAGTGTTGGTTGCCTCCATCAGGGCAGCAAGCACCTCTGAAATGTAAGTAAACTTCCACCAAACTGCATGGTGCAACATTCCAAACACAATAACTTTCAAAACCTTAGATATTCTATAATTTTGTAATGCTGCAAAGCTTTTATGTTCCTCTGTATTGTGGTAGATTTTCAGAATCAGGTATCTGTGTATTTTTAATTCTTTTGTGCAGTGAGATGCCAGCAGGTTTTAGTCTCTTTGTAGCCTAGGTTATTTATGACTGAGCTTCCTTCATGTGTTTGCCTCTTACATTTGAGCAAATAGGTGGTAACAGCTATTTTTAGGAATCATCATAATTTATTTATTAAACATTAATTAATTAATCTGCATATGCTCCCTGAATACTTGTTAATTAAGGTCCTATGTGTTTCTGAAAGTTTAATGTCATTAATTATTTATATAGATTGCTAAGTTGATACTATTAATTTTGCATGCATAATCATCATATTGTATTTTATTTCACATTATATCTTAGGGAGCTGGTTTATTACAACACTACACTAGTCACCTATATGCCCTCTAAAATGCCTACAAATATCTGATTACAAAAATGTTGAGACAAAAAGAAACTGTGTAGTTGTATGAAGCTAAATTAATTAATACTTTAATATTTATACCATACAAATGTAATACATTTATTGTTCACAAAAACTATCTTTAGAGAAATGTTTTATCCTTAAATATATATTAACCGGCTGAACATTAACAATAATAATAATGGGATCCATAAATTAGTCAGAAGAAAATTAATTACTATGTTGCTTTCAGGCATGGAAAATTAACAGGTCATGCTGTCCATTTGCTGGCCTATGTTTTGGGATTTTTTGTGAATTTATAATGAAATTGTGTTGGAAGGTCTTTACCCAACTAATAGGTATCTTTTTATTTGAGTTCAGATTATATAGCTGTTTCTCATCATGAAAGGAAATAGAGTTGAGAACAGTTCACTCTTTATCATTTGTGTGCCATCATGCCAGTATGTGTACGATGGCTTCTGTGTTCTCTGTGCTTTGGAAGAAAATGAATGTGTGAAATATTAAAAATAAACAACATAACAATGGGTAATATATATCTACTATTATAATTTAATAACCCTTTCATAATATCTTTGAACGGAGTTCTAGAATGTGCTTCTCATCATGATGGAATCTGCAATACTTCTTTCTTTGTTGAAACTAAGAGGGAGGTAATCCCTCAAAGGTAACAAAATTAAATTTAATAGAAAAGTGAAGGACAGTATAAAATATACCAATCATTCACTGGTAAGTAATATTATGGTAAAATTGCTGTTCTTATGTGTTTACAGTGTGGCTGACCAGTAATAGGTGGCAAAAGCAATGTTTTCTGTAGCTTAGATTTGCTGTATGCATTTTATCAGTTCTTCCATAACGTGTATGTCAGAAGGGAAATGAAAAAGTGGGTATCATTGGTTGAATGTTGACAGAAGTCACTTCTTGAAATATTAAACATAAATGTGCTACTGGAACAAAGTTTTAGTCCATTCTGGACTCTATGTATCTGGTGTTTATGAAAATATGACTGAAGTAATATCATTTATTGTCCATCTTTTATAAATTCTTATTTCATATCAATTATAGTCTTGTATGCTGATGCAATGTAGCCTTGTAGGAATAATGTATTGCCTCCAGCTTTAGGGTTGAAGTGAGTCAGGATAGGAGTGTAATTAAATGGACAATTGAAAGAATGATGGTTGAGGGAAGGAAGGGAAAGGTGCCTGAGAGGAAAGTTATGTTTATTGTATAGTAATTTAATTTGTAAATTTGACCGTTAAACATATACAGTGCGATATCTCAGAACATTAATTGTTATAAAGTATGTTATATGGACGTAATTCTTGCACATACGAGGGAAGTGCATACATCTTGCAGTTGTTTACAGCCCGTTTCTAATTTTGTTTTGTCACGGGCCGTCATTACCTTGCAATTAACTGTATCGGATTGAAAATATAAAGTGTTTTCTTATATAAACGGTACAGCTCTATATTTTGCAACGTAAACACAGTGGTTATGAAATATTTAAGCTCCTTTAGCATTTATTGACGTCATAATAACACGTGTTCTAACTAATAACCCCCTCAAATGGCGGGAACCAATGGCGTGCAAGGATATTAATGATAATTTCAGCCAAACAGAATTCGCGTGCTGGAAAATGCAGGAAGACAGGTGCTATAGGAACGATGCTACTTGCGGTATCCAAACGCTGTCGTTTTCTCCTGTTATTGGTTTTGACAGTGGGTGTGAAGTGATTTAATATTAATTTGGTGTGTTATTAATAGAGGGGGACAGTTGTTCACGAGTGTCATTAAATGGTGACTCGTTTTTCGTGCGATTTTACGGTTTTAGGATAGTGATAGGAACGTCGTATTTTAAAAGGAATAACTATCAGCTGACTAGTGTAATGCCTTTTAATAACGCATGGTGATTTGCTCATCAGTCTCGTATGTTGTTTGTGGGTATTTGTTTGTTGGAGTGTTCTCTGTAAACATTACAGCAAATACCGGTAGTTGAGAAGAGGAAAAGCTGGTATCGATTTGGGAGCCTTGGACCGAGGAAAGCACTGCTGCCATGCTTTCCGGTGGGGAAGAGAATGGTGGCTAGGAAACGAAGTAAAGGACTTGGTGAAAACTACGTACAGCAATACGCATTCCCACCATGTTTTTAATTTTGGCAGTATCTTCGTGTTTGTACGCGTCGGTAAAAGTGTCATCAGCTTCCATAGGAGATTATTAATTGCAGCGAAACCGTGTAAGTAGTTGACACGTTGTGTTTGTGTCACTTTCAAGGGATATTTGTGGTGTTTTTATGTTTTGTAGAAAATAAACACGACCTTGAATGTTACCAATGTCGCCGTAACGTAGGTCAAGTTCTTTTTTATTGCCGCAGCTTTCACTATTGCTAATGTCAGTGGCAAGGGTAATGTAAAATGGTAGTTTTACAACTTGTGTCATTGACAAAGTAGTGCAATCTCAGTATTGCCTCGAAGATGAGGGCATAATGGAAAACACCCACTTTGGCTGCATCGGTGTTGGATGGCGTACCTTGCGTGCAGCTATATGACTTATAGATAGAAAAATATACGTGTACAATTTGAGAACATGGTAGAACTATGATGATTCAGAAGGGTGGAAATGGAGTGAAAGACAACCGCAGTGAATATGTTAACACGACATATTTACTGAGCGTACTTTGTATATGTAGGAAACAACGTGGAAATGGCTCTGTAGGAAGTTGTGGTCATTTTCGTGTTAGCAAATTTATGTATCATATAGAAAAATGCCGTAGAATCTGATGTAATGAATTGATTACAAGGCAGAAAAGTTCTGTCAGTTTTATTTTATGAAATTCTAAGTTGTTTTGAAGATTATTTTGCAGATTAACATCTTATATGTGCGGATTGGGAGAAGTAATTATTACTCCGTTTGTCATAACGAGACTTCGTTTAGGAATTTTAATACGATGTTTACAAGCCTTGAACATTCATTAGGAAGCAGTCATGTCTTTATTCATTTCACATTTATGTTAGTCCAGCAAAATACAACTACAACTTTATTTAATTGTTAAATAGAAGCTCAACATCAGTTATTGTCTTTGTTCTCAGAAAGTGTTGCATCACATACTGCATTAATCCGTAGCTGAAAATTTAATTCCAAACTTCCAGATTCAGAACTAACATTGTACTGGATAGATAACTCAAAGAAATATTTGTAATAGAAGACTTTCTGAGTGTTAGTTGTAAATGTTTACAACTGAAAAACTTGGAAACCAAAGTTGTGAACCAGTGAAAGAAAATATAGAATAGAATATATTTACATTCCATAGATCCTTTATAGGCCTAAGCCAAGGATGTATAACAGGTCATAGCACAAATACAATACTTGTTTCTAGTAGAAATATGAATACAAAGAATTACAGACTTTTGGAACTACAGTATTACAGCAAAATAATTATGATAAGAACCATCACCACTGTTACTGACATGCATTTATAAATTCTTCTACTGAGTAGAAGGAGTGAGATAGGAGGTACTCTTTTAACGCTTGCTTAAACATTTTTATATCATGGTTTAAACTTTTTATAGTAGGTGGAAGATTATTGAATAACTTAATTCCATTACAGTAAACTCATTTTTGATATTTACTGAGGTTAGAAATTGGCACATGAAGGTTGTATCTATATTGTGGATATCTGTATTTGTTTGAAACTTTTCCATGTTATCCACTACAAATGATAATAGTGAGAGCAAGAATTGACTGGGCAGTGGAAGAATATTAAACTTCTCAAATAATTCCCTACAAGAGTCTCTCCTTTTAGTGCCAGCCATTATTCTAATGATACTCTTTTGAATGTAAAATACTTTTTTGCTGTCCATTGAATTTCCCCAGAAAATGATCCCATATGACACGACATGAGCGCTGTAACTGATCTCATAGCAAAACATGCCAAGCTTAATTTAGGGATAGTGTATTGAATATGTGCTTTCCAGTTTAATTTCTTGTCAATTTGTAGGCCAAGAAATTTAGTTGTTTCTACTTCCTCGATTATTTTATCATCATACCCTATATTTAGATTTACACAGGTCCTGTTATTAGTACAGAATTTCATGAAATTTGTTTTGTCAAAATTTAATGTGAGTTTATTGGCTTTAATCCTTGTGTGTAATTAAAATTGATAAATGTTTTACCTTCTTTCATCAGTGCACACAGAAGAAAAATTGATCAAAACCACTATTTCCCATGTTTGTGTCCACCTGTTTAAATTTTTTTAAAGTTGTGTTGCACGTCTTAAAACTGGAGTTTGGATTTCAGCAAACATTGCAATTGGCATCTTCATGGTTTCTCTGGGAGGGTGTGTTAGGAAGTTCTAACAGACTTAGCAGTGGGAAGTAATTCTTCTTTGTGCTATAGCATGTTTCAAGCTCTGGCCTCTTCTGGTCATTGAAGTTTTCAAAATTCTGTAGAGACAGATAGTAGGATTTCTTAGCCAGAGCATCAGTCCATTATAGTACAGCAGAAAATAATGTCCAGGCTTCAGGTGGGATTGAAACCTGCAGCAAATATCTGAGTGTAGTATGTATTTTCATGTAATACAGTGCCACTTGTAAATCAAGACCTCATTTTTCTTCAATCCCTTTATGCTAATGCAGGGATAGTGCCTTAAAATTAAGCTGTGACTACTGCTTTCTGCATCCTTTTCAATTTAGCATTCATTCATTATACTATTTGATGCAGAATGTCAGAAACACCATGTAAAGGTAACTAACTGCATTGAATTAGACCAGGCCAGATGTGTGTAAGTGGAATAAGATAGGACATATAAGATGTTTTGTGAGAAACCATCATTTAGATTTGTGAGTGAAAGAGTTTGGTAAATATTTCACTAAATTTGTAGTGTTATGCAGAAATAAACAGATCGATAATTTTTTAAACTGAATAATATATTGTAGCAATTCAGCTCTGTTTTGTGCCAGAACTTTTTAAAAAACTTCAGTGAAATCTGCATTTTATATGTGTACAGTCTTGTGTCTGACTTGTATTTTCTGAATGAATGGCATATCATAGAGAAAGGAAAGGAACAGAAATGTTTGTATCCTCACATAGCTCAGGGCAAATTGTGACAGTCAGACTTTTGGAGTTATTATATCAGTACTACTCTTCTTTCTTCATTGGTGTTTTGGAAGAAAGGACTGATTTCTTCTTGGTATATAGGTCAAGGATGTTTAGACAGAAAGTAGTGAACCTTGAGAACGTACACAAAATTCATTTTAAGAACAGTTTTGAAACGTGCGCCTATGTTTCCGGGTAAAAAATTGTGTACACTAATAGTTGCTCAGCTAGCCAAGAAATTCCTATGTACTGAGCCACATGAATCAAGTCCACTTGCTCATACTCTGTTCCTTTAATATTTATTTATATTCCATACAATGCAATGTGTAAAATTATAGTTTGCAAAGTTTTAAACTTTACTGTTTTAGACAGAAGTTGGGGAAAATAAACTCTGAACTGAGTGATGGTAACCATTTCCTAAACTTAATCTGCTTTAATAAATGAAGTTCTGATTGTTCAAATATTTGAATTTTGCCATGTTAGCTATCTTTGTATAAAATATAGTATATACATTTTCTAAACATGTCCTTTTCAAACCCCTTGGGTTTGGGTAGCTTTTTGTTTTGAGAGCAACAGTTTTGTGAGTTTCTTTGCATGCTTGAAATATGTGCTAGGAGTATGTTTAATGTTGGGGTACATAATTTTTGCTTGCATTTCATTAAATATGATTTAGATCTGATGAAACTGAATATTTTATATTGTATTATGTGTGGTGAGTTGTTTTTGATCAAATTAATCATTTTGATTTCAGCTTCATGTTCAATGCAAGTGGTTATATTGGACCAATATGAACCAAATTAAGTTCACTCAACAATTGTTGGCGCAAACCCCCAAATTTCATCAGACAAGCAGGCATGCCCTTTCTTTTTTACTGTGCATTCATCTTATGTACTTCTTGGAAAGAATGTACAGAAAGTACAAATATGGCATAGTAGTAGTAAAAAATAGTAGAACAGTTATTTGGGCAGGTCAAGTATATTGTGTTTGATGAGAATGTGGCACAGGATATTTGTTTGTGCCACTAAAACAGTTCAGTTGGAGAAATTTTTGTATTGATTGTATGAGCACATAAAGCAGGTATGCAGTGCAAGAAAACATGTAGAATTGATATAGTTGGAGGTCTACCAGGTTGTTGCAGATTTTAGTATTTTGGCCATGTGCCAACATTTTAGAGGAACGTACTGTCATCCATCGTCAGCCCTGATGGTGGTGGTAGTAATGTTCAGTGTTCTGTAAGGACTTTTACTTAGACAACATTTGATAATGTTAAGATTAATATTATACTGTTTTAATAATTTTATTCATTTGTCGTAAAGATGCACAATACAAATGAAATTTGACACAGCACATTAAATTTTAAATGCCTAATCATACTTGCATCAGTGAATTTTAGTTGAATGAAGAATACATTCAAAACAATTTCTGGGAATTACATTGAAATGAAACATTGCTTGATATAAATTTGAACTGCTTTGGAAGTACTGACTACAACACATCCTTCATATGCAACTTCAGTTTTCTGTAAAATGCAAGACAACACATATGATGCAGCACGTACACACAAATGGTGCAAACATGAAAATGTTCTGTATTGATGACTAGTTTTTCATGCAGGATGCAAACCTGAAGACACGCATCATGGGCTAAACATTAATTCAAGAGTGATTTTCCAACATTTTTTTTTAGTGTTTTTAAACTTGGTAGTTGGCACACTGGCATAGGAAGAATGTTGGTTAAGTAATTTTCAAAGATCCACTTCTCTCCTTTTTATTCAGTTATCATGGTTGGTTTGCAGTCTCTCTGTGCAGGTGATCATTAAGGCTCATCTTCATCATTTTGTGGTGAAAAAGGTATTTTTAGTTCCCTAGATGCTTGCTGTAAGGACTTGGTTATTATCATGTATATTCATGGTTTCAAATCTTTTAATCACTGTTGATCTTCACATTTGAATGCCTGAGATATGATTTTTTATCCTCCCACTTCTTTATCAAATGATGGTATAATGCTTTATGCAATTTCTACACTAAATGTAATAGCAGCTGTATGATGATGCAAATTTATACCATTAATTTGTATATATCCTATACATGATTCAGTACTATCCTATAAGCTGCTGTTAAAGCAAATATGTTGTTTGTATAAATGTATGTTGCAGTTGTTTCTTTAAAATATGCAAATATAGACCAGAAAAGAAAGATTAGCATAATTCTTTTTGTGGTAATGGCAACATGATTCACAAATGTTTTTAATTGCATGTAACTTTGTAGTTACATCATGCTGCAGGAAGGATATTATGCCACTACATATTAAACCAGTAATTACGGACACTCACTAATATTGTAGACTTTGTCATACCAATAAGGTACTATAATACTATATGACTGAACTAATGTATGTGGTTGCTCAGTCAACAGGTTGTATAGTAACAAATCGAGACAGTAAGAAGACCAAAACACAGGTACCTGCTACAAAACAGGCTGCAAAAACATACCAAGTATCTTCATCAAACAAATCTGTAAATGCAGGTACTTGTTCATAAATAGTGTCAATCAGTTGTAGATTATAATTTTTTTTTGACATTTTGGTTTCTACAGGTAAATAATGACTGTCATAACGCTATAACTAACGCCTCTTGCCAGCTTTTTTCTCAGATTTGGTTTTGGGTATGCTGGTTTCTGGTTCTTCAGTTGTTGCTAGTGGTGTGATATGTTTGTTGTAAAGTTGCAGAAGCTCCAGATTGGTTAGATTCCCGCTTTTGAAAACTATCACTTCTTTACTGTCTGAAAAATAAGAAATATTTGAGATGTTCATGCAGGCATGGTTTTTGAACATACGAACACTGTCATATATAAATGATGAATGCTGATTCTATGATACCTCTCAATTATTCTGTTGGTCTTGTAAAGCTAGACAGATAAAGTTTGGTAAATAACAATTTACTGTCATGCTGTAGTTAGAGTTTGGTGATGGAGTACTATATAAAATGTAGTATATGACATAATATTGAATTAGAACCTATTACCTTGCATACTCGGGGAACTTGAACTTGTGGATATGTGGTTTGCTGTCAAAAAGACTATTTCATTATCAAGACTCGGACAAAAAGCATGCACAAAATAAACAATCCTATGTTTTAGGGAAGTAACATTTGAAGAATCAGCCATTTATTTAACAAGTGATGGCAACATGTTGTAGGCTTACAAACATGGCAGTTTTTCACAGGAAAGTTAGAAGAGTTAAAATATGATTATTTATATATACACCGATATTTTGTAATACAAGAGGGAATTATGACAATACAACTTCTGCCCTACATTTCAAGCTGACGAGTTCATTCATTAATAATTCTATCATTTGACACTGTATGACAGTGTCATTAAATAAGCCACAATAAATAAATAATATAAAGAGATGCCATTTGCTAAATGAGATTTCTCTGGCATGTAAAATTGGAAACTTGACTGTACCTTTCTATTCTCCCTCTCATATGCACACATACAAAGATATGTTGTGTGAATTATGTATAAGCAAAATCTATTTTCTTTCTCAGTCTATAAGACAAGCAGTAACTATTAATTCATAGACTTTTCTCCTTGTTTCTTAATGACCTAGTACAATGCGGTTCATTAGAATTATAATGCCAAATAGGAATGTGCACAGAAGTGAACTTACTTAGTGTAAAAGTGATGGATGGCTCACTTCGGTCACACAAAATTTCTGTCTTGATCTTACAGTTAAGGTTTGTTGCTAGAATTTTTGAGCCTGTCAGACTGAACAGGAATTCCCTGAGGAAAAATTAAAACAAAATTAGCAGAAATGAAAAGAATGCATGCTTATGACATGTAGAGGGTCATGGGAAGTACTGGTATTTTTTACTGTGCACATTATAGGAAATGCTAAGAATTATTTCACAACGGTGTGCTGCTTTTTCCCAGTGAATATAGAAGTTACATTCTTACATAGGGATACAAAATTACTTTAGGCGAGTTTCGGGTTTAAAAATATCATGATGAGTTAATAGGTGGTTGTCTTCTGGGTGGTTGTGCCATGCATTCTGGTACATTTATTGTCATGATGATGGATGCAGTAAGCTCCTCTAAAATGATGGCCAGTATCTACCACATTATACAACACAACATTCCAGAATATAGCTATCTTCAAAATGACTGTGGCTTACATGAATTTTGGGCCATTAATTTTATGAGATTTTCCATGTAATGTGTGGAGTTTTTTTCTAGTCTTGAAAAGACTATATATCTTATAAAGGGGTTTTATTCCTGGAATTGTATAATTCAAGATGGCTACTATATTCTTAAACCTGTGCAGTACTTGCAACTGTAGGGATAGCTGTATTAGGTTTTTGGGCCTCTGAATATTGACACACACATAATTGGGCACTTTCAGTCTGAAATACTATATTTTTATTGACAACTGTATGTGAAATTATGGGACAGCAAAACCAGCTGTGTATGCAAAATAACAAATAATTCATTCAGAGGACTGGTTAGGAGAGCAGTGACATGGACATAAGTCGAATGTTTATTGAATGTCTTTGTACAACACTGCTAACCATCCAGCCAACCAGCTAGCTCACTTCATCTGTAAGACTGAGCTTTCTTTGAGAAACTGATTAATATTTTTGTCAAATATAAAGGTCTATCATGACAAAAATTTATCACAGGTCCCTACCCTAAGCCATTTCATATCATATTTTCACAAACTATTTCTTGAACATCCATTTTAAAACCAGTCACTTTTTTTTTTGCCTCTTTGCAGGAGATTTAACCAGAATTTTTATGTACAGTAAATAGTAAAGTGCAACAAATAGAAAAATTATATGTTGGCATTTTTCCATTATGTACTAATTTTTGCCTGCTGTTGTATTTCAAACAGATTTATTGTGAAGAACTTGATTTAAATTTAAATCAAAACTGAGCAAGGGTCAACATGAATAACAAAATATTAGAGGAGATGCAACAGTTTCCTGTAATGCATTTGTATGCTTGAAAAGAACAAGTTAGTATATATACCCATAACATGATATTTATGACACATTGACAATAACTTGACTATTGTCTTATGACATAATGGAAGAACACTGCCAATGGCTTGGTATCCATGGGAAACAACAGTAACTGTTGCAACAGTCATCTGGAATGATATCAGAGGCACAGAGAATTATGGGTAATGACATTGTCACAGAGAATCACCCTCTGACCTCACAAGTTCCAGCATCTGCCTTCTCGATATTAATGACTAGGAAATTAAAAAGAATTAGTTTGAGTGGCCTTCAATGGTATGGTATAATATACAATTTCATGGAACCATGTTTAACCTTTCTCAGGATAGTTTGTGCAGATGGATGGATGGGGACAAAGTGAACCTAATTGGTGTTCTCTAAGGGTGCTGTGAATATAGCAATAAAGAGAGATTAATAACTGCTCTTGTTTGTTTTTTCCAGGTAAAATATGGCAATGGAAAGGCCAAAACTGGCCATTCCAGGGCCAGAGTTGCATTCTGTGAGACGAGAAACAATATCAATGCTTGGAAAGACATATGGCTGTGGACAATGCAGTGGTAAGTACAGTTGTCTCATCCATTCATCTTATTTTCACATATGTATGGGTTTCAGCTGCACCTGGGTCCTAAATAATCATACTGGACATGTTGGAAGAGCTGTAAAAGATATGATTCACACTTTGGAAGTTCCTGGTTATTGATTTTCCTTAGTCAAGGCATATGACAGGATAACACCATGAAATAGTCCATGGCCACCTCCTCCCATACCACTCATAATAGATTTGCCATATCATATTTAATACTGGATAGTAGTTGATGAGTAACAAGCTTTATAAACAACCACTGATATGGATTATCCTTTTACTGACAGCCACTGGTGTTTTTTCACCCAAAAATATTCATTAAATAATAAATTTCTGTAGCTGTAACTTTATGAGTCTTAGATAATGAGTGTAGTTGAGTACATTTGAACTTATTAACTAATATGTACCAGTATTGTAAATAAACTGAAATGTTAGGAATATCAGATTGACAACCAAATGTGTGAGAACATTGGCATTTGATATATATTTGTAATATTTCATAGAGAAACTGCTACAATATCCTGTAATGCACATGTCTGTGGTATTAAATCACCTTTCTTTCCTATAATGCAGTATGGTTTTGTGTTTGTTAGTACATAGAATCAAACCATACCAATGATGCTCACTGAGCTTAAATGTGGAGTGAAAATCGTAATTTAACCATTGAAGGAAACCAAAATTATAATGTTTCTACCAGATGTGTTTTGATAATATACCAAAAGTGGTATTTATAATATGAACTCATTGTTATGAACATTCAACAGTAATGTTACAATACCTGAGTGCATCAGTCATTGGATAACATGCTAAGCCCATCATCCAAGAATGTGGATGGGTAATACATTACTTATGTACCAATCATTGTGACTATAGAAACAATGAAAATTACAAGAAAGGAAGTCACTTAAATAACAAAAATTATAATAAGCTGGTGCAACGAAGTGGAGTAAACCCATCTCACATGCCTTTAAAACTGAGTGCATAACACTCCATAACCCTATAATGAAACTAGTAGCATACCTGCCCAGCACAATTGTCACGCCTACGGAGAAACTGGTCTTGTTAGCAAGAACATGTAAAAATTAATGGAAACGCGTACGGGTCGCAGGACGTGTATCGTACTGTTTTAGTCAAATTAATTAGCTTACATTAATTTCATAAACATGTTCGAATTACGAATAAGTAGGGAATATCACAATTATTGACTTTTTCGTCTGCTGGTGAACGAAAACAAATGCGCAGCAGCCTCTACTGACGTCACGAAACGCATAGAAGCCGTTACATTAAAGTTGATTGTCCCTTAAACATACCTGGTTTCTGTTACATTTTTGTCGAAAGGATCAAATTTAACAATAACCTTTTTCAGTGGTTTCAAATTCACAAACCGCAGCTGTTTGGCAATTGCACTGCTGATGCCTGCAGACCTCTTTAACGTGCCTGAAAACGGAACGGACATCTTTCCGCATATTCAGGTCCACCAACTTTGCAGCTCAAAATTCCACTATCACAGCAGCATGTTTGATTCCTTGCATTTGAATAACAAACGAAAGCTTGCTGCCAAATTTTGTTACGCTAAGTTGGAGTGACTTTGGTAGAAATTTTCAAAGTTTTTAGTAATTTTTGTCTCAGTTTGCTGTAAATACAATTGGCTGCAAGCGAGCCAATGAGAAGCTCTGTAACTGCAAAGTAGTTTTTGACGTCACGTACGCCATGTTGATAATCGTAAGAAGAGGTCGCTAAACGCGGGGGGGAAATAGTGTCGTATTTATTTATTGTGTATTTTTTTTTAGTATTTATTTTGCATATTTTGTAGTAGAAAATGTTTCCCGTTGGGCAGCGTAAGTATTTATTGAATTATAATATTTCTGAAATTTGTTACGCCTTCGTGGAAATGTTCAGTGTTCACTTACTGAAATTCGCCTACTGATATGGGTTTATGATTGTTAAGGTCACTCTTTGTTTTGCAGAAAATTGCAAGAGGTAGCCTGTTTTTCATATATCTTGATGCTTAATGTTATTGCTGCTTTGTAGCTTTTGTGAACCCTATTTTGTGCTTGCTTTCCCATGTTTTTCTCTGACAGCACAATGCATGGTGGTTAGGTTTGATGACCTTTTCAGTCCATAATTCTCTTATTCCACTTTTACCCGAATGTGTTGAATGAATCACGTATTTGACTCATACAAGTTTCATAGTAGCGTAATATTATGCACGTGTATTGTTTTACTGTGGGCAGATAGACAAATTATGTTCTTATGAATTGTGACAGTGAAATCATATTCTATGCAAGGTAAGTAAGTGACATTCACTGATGCTACACTTACTGGCAAATGGAATGAAATTCTCCTTTTGTGAATTCTGGATTATTTGCAGTAATGTTTTCAGTAGATTTCTTTCAGTTTGTACTTCCTAACTTGTGTTATAACTGCGGTAGTAATTTGGGCTAGATTAAAATAGGATTTATTTACATTCCATAAATATTTCATAACACCAAGCCAGGGATATGGAATAAATTGTAACACAAATACAATAGCTAAGATAGTAAAGAAAGATTATATAATCATGGGCCTAGAAGAGCCTCCTTTTCAAAATATCCAAAATAGCATTACTTTTATTGGTATGCTAGTCACTCAACTTTGACGTTTGGTTGTTTGAGATGGCTGCAGTTGAAAGTTCATAGAGTGTAGTATTTATTTGAATGACATGAATGCTGTGGACATTTCCATTTGAAGGTTATATAATTACTGTATTAATTTAAGAGGTTACATTACTTTGTATTGAAAGAATGAATATGTACTATAAATTATGAAAGATAAGGTGCAGAAGTGGTTGTGGGTTGTGTTGATACTATCCCAGGGCTGGAAAGCCCTGCAAGTTCATCTGAATATTTTGTGCTCCATCAAAGATTTGAACCTTGTACTTTCAAGTACTGTTTCATTAGCTGTCTTGCTGAAATTACTGGTTAGAGGAGTTTGGTTGTAGTGTTGTGTTCTTACCTGTAATTTTGCTTATTCCATGTCTTGTGTTTTGTTGAAGGTTCCTTGATTTTGCTGCCATCATTAAATCTACAAGTATAATATGCATGTAATAAAATATAAAGTGATAATGAATATTTTTTTCTGTTTATATTTGAGATTGGTACTTATGTTTAGATAAAATAATAATTCACAGTATATACCTCATGTCTTTGTATATGATCAAAATCACACATGATGTTTAAAATTGTTACCCTAACTTTATTGTAGTCAAAGAGATAGAACACAAGTTTTTTTGTGGGTTAAGTGACTTCAAGATGGAATGGAATACATTGCAGATGATGCAATATCCAGCTGCTTGACAGTGTAAAAGTAGTGACTTATGAAGGGACTTGGGTCTTCCAGTATAACACCAAAAAAGTCAAACTTTTTACTAGTATCACCCGTTCTTCAAGATCAGTTGGTGTGAATTGCAAAATAAAGGGTTGAAACCATTCTGCTTTGCTTTTTTGATAATAAATGAACAATAATTTTTTTATTTGTTCCTCCAGAACAGTCAATCATGCATTGTAGCTTAAACTTTTGGAATATATATGGCATTATTGAAAGAATGTTAAATTCACCTCTAAAAATTATGACAGAGTTTTTAGTTAATGAAGATACAGCTGTTTTTGTTGCTGCTGCTGTTGTTGGAGAATTAATCTGGTTATTTATCAGTCTTCATATGTATACTACACTGTTTCTGAGTGATAAATTCTCTGTTTACTGTTTTTATCTGTCTCCTTTCCACTTTTTTCTTCTTCACGAAAGTATAAAAGTATTCTCTACAAATTTGTTGCTTTTTGAGTTCAGTATTTTCCCATTTGTGATATGAATATTTTTGACGTAAATACGTCTATACGGAAGGGTCATTGGGCAAAAAAGTGAAAGGAAAACGTGTAATGAAAATGTGGAACGAAAATGTGTAAGCTCCGTATCAACAAATCGACAACAATGGTTACCTATGGAACGTCGTGTTTACTCGGCATTGTTGTTACCTAGGAAAACATGTAAGATCCATATCAACAATGTGTAAATATGGACCGACAACAATGGTATTTATTATTATTATTTATTCATTCATTCATTCAGCATGCCCCATTACAAGATTGTAATATTACATGCATTAATGTATAACACGTTAAAAGATTACACAATTGTAATATCGTGATTCGTTGCCACCATTTGTACCTATGTTCCTGTGATAAACTGTATTATAATCTATGGATTTAATGAATGTATTAAAATGACCTAAATATTTTTGAAAAAGTACTTCATGTAACACTGGCCATGTGCCACCATTCTTGGCCATTGCATCTGTTAATTTACGCCTTGGTTGTTGTAGTTTTTCGCAGTCGTGGATGAGGTGATCCACTGCTTGTGCTGCTTTCAGACATGAGCATGTTGGTTTTTTTTAATGATCCCAAACCTGTGTAGATTTGATTTGTTTTTGCCATGCCCAGTCAATATTGCAGTTCGGGACGTATTACAATGTTTAGCTGCATTCGTTGTCGCACTGATGGGAAGAATTTCTTGCACACTGCTCCTTTATTGGTGGTGTTCCACTCATTTTGCCATTTTATAATCCCTTATTCCTTTGTTTCTTTAATAATTGTACTTCTAGGATTCTTTGCATATACTACATTTCCACCATTTTCTGCTGCTGCTGCTGCCTTCGCTAATCTGTCTGCTATTTCATTACCGAAAATTCTGATGTGTGCTCTGATCCACCCAAAATGAATAGTCCAATTTTGATCATCAAGTTTCCTTAATTTATTTCTTATCTTAGATATTATGAAGCTGTGTTTGAAGTTGTTTTTTAGTAGATCGAGAGAAACTTGACTATCTGTTTACACTGCTACTATTCTTTCCTCAATGCTGATGTCCCTTAAAGTTGTTACTGCATCCAAGGTCTCTAGAATTCCGATCTGCTCAGCCTGATTGTTTGCATTGTTATGTTACCTAGGAAACGTCATCTGTTTGCTCGGCATTGTTACATTTTGACATTACATTTCATTACATTACATTCAGCTACCTTCCTTTCATTGTATTTATTACTTAAATATAATTTAAATATAGAGACGTATTTACGCCAGATTCTCCGGAACCGTTCTTCCACTGTCAATTTTTTCATATGAATTCTAGGAAGCACCTTACAAAAGTTATGGCAATAACAGTGAAAATTCAAACAGTTTGGTCTGTTATAATTTGTTTCTCATTTGTGTTTCCACTTTAATTTGCCATTCAGTAACACTAATTAAAAGATTTTCTTGCGTACATATTAGAATGCCTTGTTTGTTTGGAATATGTTACAAAATGAAGTGTAAAGAAAAGTTAACCATGTTACTTCCTGTTCCTAATTGTTATCTACTTAAAGTGGTAAAGGTGTATATATTCAAATATTCAGAGCTCTTATGTTTAGGACAGGACTGTTGAAATTGTATTCATATAAGAAACAGCCACTGAAGGCTTTCTTCAGTACTGGGATATGCCTCTAAAAGATATTTAGTTTGTTACTTTAGTGTGTCTCCTTCCTGTGTCTAATGTTTGAACCACATGAACAAAACTTCTATCATAGTGAAGATGAAAATTCTGGCTGTCAGTTCATCAGTCACATACCAACTTCATTGTCACTCTTGACACACAAATAGTTTTCTTGTGTCTCTTATGTTAAACACAAATCTGGCTGAAGATTTCTGTCTTCTGGTTTGTTGCACCGTGTAGTATGGTAGATGTTTATCAACGTTTCAGAGGTCATACTGCCTCCATCATCAGGGCAATGACAGAGGCAGTATGACCTTTGAAATGTTGGTAAACATCTACCAGACTACACGGCGCAACAACCCAGAAGATAGAAATCTTCATACTCACCGCTGTGAAAACCTCAAATCATACACAAATCTGGCTGTTTCTTCACTGGGTAAAAAACTAGTGACAGTGATGCACACTGAAATTTCAGCAGTCTTTACTAGAAGTATTTAATCCTGCATGTAAATGGGACATAATTTGCTTTGCAGCTGTTTATTGGTTTGTGTGCTTTATTACTAATAATGTGTTTCTTTAATTTAAACCTTGGGCTCATTTTCCCTCAACAGAAGTGTCGTGGACAGGTATGGCGGGGATGACTGAGCCTTCTCCCCCCCGCCCTCCCTCCCCAAGCAACCTGGGTATGCCAATATGCATTGAAAGTTCTACTGATACTTTCTAGGATTAGTATGGAGTTATTTCTTTCTTCATGATAACTTTTTTTAGTGTTATATACCATAACATAATGATCCATCTTTTCTGTTCATGATAACTAAATTGTAGAAGCCATTAATAACCGAAAGCAATTTTAACAGGAAAATTTGTCTGGGTGAAATGTTTTTGTGTTTCTTAATTTGAATGATGGTTTAAGATTGCTGCTGCTGCTCGCATGTAGTAAAATAAACTGCAGAAGCATGGTTTTTAGAAAATTATTACAAGAGAAAAACATCAATTGCTTGATATCAGTACTCGTTTCTTGATGAGTATGGAATGATACAGCGAACAGTTTCTGACACTATGTATGAGCATTCACTAAACCAGATTGCAGTGGGCTAAACACAGTCTGTAGCTTCAGTCCTAACATGATAGTAAGTGCACATTTAATTTCTGTTGTCAGTCATGGTCAGTCAGCTGTATGAGTTGTGTCAGACCATGATGAGGTTTTCATGGTGTAGTCTGGTAGAAGTTTACCAGTGTTATAGAGGTCCTTGCTGCCTCCATCATCAGGGCAAAACTTTGGTAAACTTCTACCAGACTACATGGTGCAACAACCCAAAAGACAGCCAGCCATCTTCACATTCTTTTTGCTCTGCATTATAAAAGTTCATGTATTAACCAATGTAGCAGTAAATGTTCCTGAAACCTGTGTTTCTGTTTATGATTGAGCTTAATGTAACTTTTAAATTTAATGGTGCATATATAGAACACAAACTTCAGAACATTTTTATTCATTGACTAGTTGAGAAAATATTGTAGGATTTGAGGTTTTGAAGGCAGTGAGTCTGAAGATGGCTGTCTTATAAGAAAATGTTGATTTAATGGGTATTTGGTGTAGTGATTGAATCTTGAAATATTGTTGTAGTGAGGACATCAGTTGTGTGATACATTAAATTATTTAGAAGTATTTCAGGTGATGTTTTGGCTTTATATTTAATCTGTAACACCAGTAATCCCAGTAAAATCTATTAGTTGTAACTAATAATGAAGTCTTTGTGACTTGTGTGTGTTTTGGCTTCAGAATTATGCTTCCAGGTTCTTGCTTGAATTTGTCATACTTATCATGTATTGCTTGGTATATCTAATGTTTTCAGAGGGGAGTAATAATGAAATATTTTGTAATTTTACAGTTATATTTTTCTGCTCATTTTACATGATACACTTAAAGTGCTCAGTAGGAAACTTAGGGGCTTCTGTGTTTGTGCAGTGATTGATTGTTGTGAAATGTGCCTTTTTGTGGAAAACAATTTTTGCATTAACACACAAACACTAATTTAGACTTGAATCTTTTCAGATACATAGTATGACCATAGACATAAATGTAGTGATTAGTCAGTGGATTTGATACCAGGAAAATTAGACTTAAAACTCATTTACTGTGTACAGAGGTTGCCGTACATGAAGCTACACTGGAACCGTTTTGGGACGAATGTTGAATATTTTCTGTAGTGTTCATTCAGTGTTCACTATTACTGATATTAAATAACCATGGTGGCTGGTAGTTGAACCTTCCAAACTGTAGGATTTTTTAGGGAAATATAGGTTCAGTTTATATTGTATTGAATTGCTTAATGTAACATTTCATGTACCAGTAATGTCAATCCTTTGAGAAGTATAGAATGGATTAAAGATGTTCAGAAGTGTGTGCACTGTGTGAAATGCAGTTTTTATTCATTGGTTTACTTTGTTTTGATGAATTTTGAAAATGGTGTGAGAACTGGTAGAAACACTAGTGGAATGTTTTGATGTAATGGCCACATATTTTATCATGGAATATTATTTAGGGTCTTACTGTGTGTCATTAAAAACATTTTCAACTTCTAGGAAACAAGTCTAGATTTACATGTTATTTCAAGGTATGGGAATTGTATACATTTCTTTTGACTATTTTATACATTTGTATTAAAAATATCTGTTGCATCTAGCCTATGTACAAATGCCACTGCATAATTACTGAAAAAGAATGTCAGAAACAATTGAAACTTAAAGTATAAGAATTATATCTGTTCTTGGTGATTTCACTATATTTCATACAGGGAAGTTGACATATTTAAACGGTGCATGTGATCATGAAGATAACATAAGTCATTAAATGACAGATTGTGTAGTATGTTCAAATTAATTTTTATGCTGAATTTATTCCACTGTAATTTGTGCATCAGGATAACAGGTATACTATGCCAGAATGAATTATTCAGTTACATAAGAACAGTGAATGAGACTAAAACTAAATTGTGTGAAGTACATGAGAATTCCTTGGAAGGTGTTTTATCCCGGAAGGATATGGAACTGCAATTGAAACATCTAATGTGTTGAAGTTTATATTTTCCAGTGTAAGAACATTTGATTTTAGTCAAAATAGTTAGTAAAATGAAAAATGTGACATGTCACTTTCATTGTTAACATGAAAGTAGAGGTTATTCACTTCACTGCATGTGTCTGGTGCATTTGCAGAGCTTCCAGAAAGAAATTTGACGCTAGTAAGATATCTTCTTTGTGTCTTGCATTAAATCAGGTGTCATGTTATCATTATCATTTATTGTGACATGTTGCAGCTCCTCCCCCTGGACCTCCTGGAGGTCCACCAGGACCTGTTGGCCCCCCAGGAGCTGTTGCTGTTCCACCTGGTGCCATGGGTCTTGTGCCTCCCCAGCAACCACACCAACCTCCACAGCCTCCCGAATTGCCAAGTATGTATGCTTGGGTTATTAATACTACAGTACTTTTCATATTATGTTAAATGTCATGGTTTGAATAACAGAGTAGTGTACCTTTGCACAATTATGCAATTTTAATTTTACAGGCCTACATCTACAAAATTTTCTTTTCTTTCGTTGATATATATATATAATTACAGTCAAACCTCGGTTCACAAACTTAATTCGTTCCTGAAGGTTGTTCGTAAACCGAAACTATTTTCCCCATAGGAATTAATGTAAAATGGATTAATCCGTTACTGGACCCCAGATGATTGCTTATTTAAAATTTTACAACAGTACTTTGTGCACAAGTTCTTAACACAAGATCAATGGAAACCAATAAATCTATCACAAAAAAGATAAACACAACACTAAGCAGATCAAATA